GTTTTTACATTAAAGGAACCTTTTCCATTTTACACTAGAATCTTCCAGAAGTAAATACTGAAAACAGTGATATGTCAATGGGAAAATTACAAAACATCATACAGAAATATAATTCTAGGCAAGAAATAAGGGAAGAAAATAAAGTGAATTTTTGTTTAGATACTGAATATAGAACAAAGGAGAAAAAGAAAGAAGGACCACTTACAGAAGAAATCATTATAGAAGGTAACCTAAGATTATATTGATATTTTCTAATTTGTATATTGAGCTTTGTAGAGGGATTCAATTATACCCTTTGCTTTGAGGACCTTGTAATGTAGTTGGAGAAATACATTATTTGTATATATCTTAACAAAACAGGGTCCCTTTGTGCTCTTCTTTACAGCAGTGGTTCTCAACCTTCTGGCCCTTTAAATACAGCTCCTCATGTTGTGACCCAATCACAAAATTATTTTCATTGCTACTTCATAACTGTAATGTTGCTACTGTTAGGAATCGTAATGTAAATATCTGATATGCAGGATGGTCTTAGGCGACCCCTGTGAAAGGGTCGTTCGACTGCCAAAGGGGTCGCAACCCACAGGTTGAGAACCACTGCTTTACAGTCAATATTTTTTGGGGGAAAATACATTTCTGCCTATTCATCACTTCTTTCCTTTTTGCATTCTGGTTTATGCCTTCACTGTTTTGCTGAGAATGTCCAATGGGCTTCCAATAACCTTCTGATGACCAGACCTAGAGCACGTTACATCAAATGGCCTTTCTAAAACTGTTCAAATAATTTACTAGTTCATCCAGCTTGAAAAAAAGTTGTTTAAAGACAGTAACATTCCAAGTTTTGTCCTTGATTAATTAATTCTTTGAAAGTGTTCAAAACTAGGCCGAACAACCACTTGGTGGAGATGTTGTAGAGAGAATGGTCAGACTAAAAAAGCCCTCAAGCTCTGAACTTTATATTCCAGATTATTGTGATTATACTGAATTTTTGAAATCTATGGTTGGAACCCAAATGAATAAAAATTAACGTCTTAGGTAGATATTTTATACACTTGGCCAAAAGTATTCCAAAAGCAAAATATATTTACAAGGTAGTAAATTAAAAAAGTGATAGGAGTATTGAAGAAGCCAGCTAGCAATTTCTGGATCTAAGTAGTAATAGAAATTAAGAGTAAAAATTGTTAGGATAAACTGATTTTATCGAATCAGCTCTGTGTTTATATGGACTTGACTAGAGAAATAAAAACCATTTTTATAATACCCTCAACGTGTCTTGTTTTAAACCAAAAGTACTTTTGTTGTATTGTATAAAAATTTACTGTGTTCTCATCATGACAGATATACAGCATACTGAAAAAATCTCCAAGAATGAAATTGATCCTAATGTACCTCAAGATGAGAAACAAAGTGAAATCTCTATAAGCAAAACCCTCTGCATAGAAAAAGAATTAATTAGTCAAGGACAAACCTTGAATGTTACTGACTTTAGAAAAGCAGCTACTACAGAAATAAAAGACAAGGTGGGCTTGGAAAGAGACAATGAATCCACAGAATTTAAATCACCAAATAATTCTTTTTTAGGGGCAGATACATCAATAGAAACAGACAGCATACACCTAGAAAGAACTGAAGGATTCGATGTTCACCGTCCAGATTTACATCTGGAGGTTGAAAGTAACAGAATATCATTTAACAGTGTCTTAAATGAGATGGCTCACAGTACAAATCATAAAAAAGATATTTCTGAACAACAGTTTAGATTGCTTCCAGAGACTCAAGAAAATGCTACAAAGAAGACAGTTACAAACAGTGACCAAGCCAAAATAGATTTGGATTCATCTCTGGATGTAAAAAAGAATCCTGTTCAGTGTCAAAGATACAATTTACATGACTCAAGTAATGTTATATTAGATGATAAACAGTGTAAAATAGAACAAATACAACTGGTAAATAATAAAAGTGAGTGCAGCACACTACCACTTAAACAAACTTCAGATGTTCAGCAAATCTGTAAGGATACTTCAGAGAAGCCTGGACTAACTATTCCCTATGACATTGCAGTTGAATACCCCATTTCATCTGCAGTTTTCAGTGATAATCTTAAAGTATTTCTTAAGAATTCAGATACAAATGTTAATATGATGCCTATATTGGTGAAACCAAACTCAAGCCCTGGGAAAAGCGCTGTATGTAAAAATCTGAATGACTCACAAAGTTCATTTAAAGACTGTTTGGGAGATTCAGAAAACAGTATGAACATTTCTCAACTTCAAGTTAACAATGAGAATATACATACCTCACAAGCCAAAGATATGAAAACTGCTGTTCACATGAAAACTTGCACAGAAATGCAGTTTTCCAGTAAAGAGAGTCACATTGATGAGAATCAGTTAACTGAAACTACAAAAAGTGACCTTTTCCTGTTTGTGGATGTTAATGAAAGACAGCATACATTGTTAAATAATACTGAGAAAACAGAGTCATTAAATGACATCGTTTCAGGAAAAATTTACAGTGAAGGACAGCTGGAAGAATCATGTTCATTTCACATAAAGCCATCTGGAGATTTAGTAAACAGAAGTGGAAAGTCAGCCTTTGATCTTTCAACTTCATATAAAAAAACTGAGAAAACTCCAGTATATGTGAATTTTTTAGACCCCAGTTCTTGGTCAAAAGTAAATCAAAATGAAAGTCAAACAGTGAGCGCTTCAACTTCTGGCATTCCCTTGTTGCTGAACGAGAGACCAATAGGCCCATCAGAAAATGAAAAGATTGTTTCAATGACACTTTGTAAAAATGTCAGGAAGGATATTGGGCCAGGTAAGAAAACAAGCTTTATGTTTACTTTAAAAATTTATTATTTCTGTTTAGTATTCTTGGTAAAAATTCTACAGATTATGTTCAAAATGAAAACATGTTAGTATTTATTTTTTTCCTAAACCTAAAATATTCCCTATATAGTAAAAGTAAAGGCTTTATTTAGATGAAAATGGATTTTTCACCTAAATCTGAACCAGTTTTGTCAACATATACTGAGGCATAATTGCATTTTGGAAATTAAAAAACAAACAAACCAAGGAACTGAAAATAACAAAAACAACCACAGGTCCAGGCAACTAATTTTAAATTAGGAACTGCTACTTCATCTGAGGTCTTTACTTTCTAGAGCAAATGCAGAGAAGTTGATAAGGCTTCTTCCAGTGCCCATGTTTATCCCTTACACACACACACACACACCACACACACACACACACACACACCAGAAAAATCACCACCACCTCTCTCCCTCAGAACCACCTTTTGTCACTTTCTTCCCCGTTTTCTCCCTTTCCTTCATTTTTCTATTTTGTTTCTTTACCAGCACCACAAATCCAGCTTTTGTTTGACAATCTCAAGGTATAGCATGATTACATTTCATATCATTGCTATTTGTCATTGAAACACTTTAAATTGAACCCCTTAATATGATGTACCTATATTACTAATACACTGAAATGCTAAATATTTCAGACTATTTAAAACTACCACATGAAATAACATAATGCCCAAGTTTTGCTTTAAAAATACACACTAGAAAAATAGGGGGAAAGGTAATGGATGAAAGTCATATGACTTAATATTGATGGATATTGAAGCTGGGTAATGGGTACTTGAGATTCATACTCTGTACTTGGGAGTACTTGAAATTTTTCATATTAACATGTAGATGCTGTATAAACATAACTTGGAGATAATGTTTAAGAAGTATGATCATGAGGAAAATGTTAACTTTGCCATTTGCAGTCTCACAATCAAAGTTTACATTATTAAAGATTTAGATTTTAAGTGACTTCACCTGTTTAAGAATATGCAGTTAGACCCATTATAAGAAATGCAGGTTACAAGGGCAGCTTTGCCTGGCCCTGAGTTTAACATGCTTCTTTTAAAAGGAAAGAGAAAACTTGGGAGAAAAACTGGGAACTAAAAGCAAAATAAGTACTTCTTGCTTACTAGCATGAATGGAGATATAGGGAAAAAATAGAAAACACCAAAGCACTGGAAAACCTTATTTCACAAAATCTAATTTTTCCTAGTAAAATGTATTAACTTCAGATTCTATTAATCTTATCTGTCAAATACTGTGGTTAATCAAATGCTATTAGTCAAGGATCTGGTCTAATGTTGACCATATTATCCCAGTTCCTTTCTTCTAAATTAAATTTCAGTGATATAAATTTAAGAATGGAAGGGGAGATGTCTGAAATTCTATAAAAATTCAACTTGTAAAGTCGTCAAACTCATAAAAGTTTAAATATTTTTTAAACTTCGAAGTAGGCATGTTTCTCTACATTACTTTTATCTGTTTATTAAATACTAGACAGCCCTTTGTTGGGTATCTTATGGCCAGTTTCTTTTAATCTGAATTCGTAAGATGTTCACTATATAAATGTTTACATGTACAGGCAGTATAGTAACTGGGGAATAAGGATAACGTTTTGTTTTATAAGATGTTTATACCATTTCACTCATTTTAATGTGAAATCAGGTTTTAGAAATAGCAATAATAAAACTTTATTTTCTGGAATGAGATGTTTAATGTAAAAGCAAAGTCTATGAAAACTATAAAAAGATCAAAGTAAAAAGAAAATAGAAATTTACCTTTTAAATACAAAAGCATAGAATCAGAGTAAAACAAGTTCAGCCACTAAAATGAGTGCCTGGAGAATAAAATTCAGTTGTTGCCATTTCCTCTTTGTCAAGCAGATACTACCAGCATTAACAGAGTTGCTGACACTTTGAATAACTCCACTATCCATCCAGATCCCAAGGGAGAGCCCAGGGAAGAGAGGAATGCAACTGCAAGGACTTCTTGTGATTCTTCTTTTCCCACAGAACATGTAAGTCAATTAAAAATATTGCCAAGCAGACCTTAGTGAGCTAATTCTACAGATATGTGTAGAACTGTATGCATCTGGATGCTTTAAGACCTAACTGATCTCCAAAATAATATCAAGAGGGCAGCATGGCACCATTTTTCACAATTAAGGTTGATGGAAAACAGCAGGAAAAAGTCACAGTGTATAAATCAAATAGATATAATCCAGCCTGTTTGAGGAGGGAGAGTGTGAGGTAGTGTATTATGTACTTCTATATTTTAGTCACCTAAACTTAGGAATAGTGGCACTTGCACATTTATTTAAACTTAAAATACAACTGTTCACAATTTGAGCATTTAAAATTTCATTCTAATTAAAGTTGCCTTAAATAGTCAATGAATAAATTCAGCTATTTTTAGTAGGGCTTAATGTTACTTACATTTTGGGAAACTGTTGTGAAGGAATTTATTTTAAATTATTTCAGTTAGAACACAGAATATGAAAGGATCAAATGTCCATCAATATATATCAAGTATGAATGTAAATATTAAACAAAAGATTTGTAGAGATTATATGGCTCCAGGAGTCTATTTGTCATATAAAAAGCAACTAACTACAGATGACAGTTTTTTAGTAAAATTTGTAAGTTTCTTATTTTGGTTATAAAACTTTAGTGCAAAAAAGGCTATGTTCTTTAAAGTCTACAAAAAACAATTATAGGTATAACTGCTAAAAGATAACCTATAAATGTTAGGAAAGGTTACTTATTTAAATAATTGCATAGTGAGATTTTAAAGCCACTATATTGTTTTAAATTTTATAGACACACATTAAGTAACTTTCTCTTCAGCACATCGAAGATGAAAATTACAGTATTGACACCTTAACATATAACAGGTTTTCACAATAAATTTTATTTTTCTTTTTAAGTATGAGAGACCCTCACTGAGATAGTATAAACTTTTCTTCTGGGAGGGTTAAAACTAAAGTCAGGATTCATCTTTTCACCATTGTGTCAGCAGAAATCATTTCAGCTTTGATGTGTACAAGTGTGTATCTTTGAAATATGGTAAATCTGGCATTGGGAAATCCTTGGCCACCTAGGTAAGTTAGTGAAATCAATGCAAAAAGAAAAGCTAGATACCAATTTCAATTCGGTTGAATACTTAATATCTATACTAATACAATATGCAAATTGTTCAGGACAGGGGTGGAGCCATGGTGGAGAGCTCTCAGTACGCCTGTGCCAGGGGTCCGAAGGGCATGGAGAGGAAGGGAGAACAGATAGGCAGTTAGGGCGATCAGGCCAGGAGGAGAGAGCAGATAAGCAGTTAGGGCGATCAGGCCAGGAGAGGAGAGCAGATAGGCAGTTAGGGCGATCAGGCCAGGACGGGAGAGCAGATAGGCAGTTAGGGCGATCAGGCAGGCAGGGGAGCACTTAGGGGCATCAGGCAGGTGAGCGGTTAGGAGCCAGTGGTTCCGGACTGTGAGAGGAATCCTGGATTGGAGAGGGTACAGGCCAGACTGAGGGACCCCCCCCCTTCCATGCATGAATTTTATGCACTGGACCTCTTATTGTAATTGTCCTTTTTCAAAGGTATAATGGGAATTTCATGTCTCCCTTTAAAGCCCATTTTTATAATTAACCCAGTAGTTCCATTCTTTGTCTAATCCTAATGCTTTTCTTGCAATTAATGTTTTTAAGAATTTATAGAATTAAAACTTTTTCAAAAAAATATTCCCACAACAGCCCTGTGAGGCACATCTATTTTACAAATGAGGAAGCAGTGACACAAATGTGAAATAATTCCAAAGCAATGAGAGACACTACCTGTGGCAGACTTAAAGTAGGTCTCTTGGCTCTTAGTCAAATATCTACTTTCTCAACTTTCATAGTAAAAAAAAAGTTTCTTCTCAAAATACTAGTGCATGTAAAAAAAAAAAACAAAACTCAGCTCACTGGCTAAAGAGAGAATTTCTAAATTTTACTAGGTGTCAAGCACTATGCTAAGTACCATTGTCCCCCCTGAAGCTTGATTACCAATCAACATCTAATGTGGGACACATTTAAAAGCAGACCTATTATTTTGCCTACACTGAAAATGCTGTTATTCTTGCATTAAACCAGACAAATCTAGTCTCTTTATGAAGCCTGTTTACTTGCTCCTTAATATTTTACACTTTTCTAAATAGGGCTGTCAGGTGACAACTGGTGGGCCAAATGCAGTCCCCACCCCCTCATTTTAGTAAGTACAATTTTATTAGAGCACAGCCACACCCATTAACTATTGTCTATGGCTACTTTAGTGTTCAATGACAATTAGGCAGTTGCGAGGGAGGCCCCTTGGCCCACAAAGCCGTGTGCCTATTCTTGTTCTAAATGAAGACAAATTAATTTTATGAAGACTTATAGCCAGAAAGGGAATAAAAGTTATTCATATTTTTCAACGTATTTTTATGCACTCTAGCCACACCAATCCTGTAAAATTTTAGGTATATATTATGAGTTAATCCACCTTTTTTGTACTTTGGAGAGGGTTAAGTTAGTAGCCTGCTGCAATCTTGGTCATACCTAGGAATGAGGATGGGAAAGAGGGGCCAGCGTAAACAAAGAAAGCCATTCATCTTATACAATGAATTAGGTTCATTGAAGTTAAATTTTAAAATGCAACCCCAGGACTAGTATCAGATCTTTGAGTCAGGCAGAAAGAGGAAGTATTTTTAAAAGGAGATAGGAAAGAGCAATGATATGTGGCTACATATAGAACTGGAATTACTCTAGGCTGCAAAACCCTAGTTAAGCTAAGTAAGACAAGTTCTGTCAAAATCTCTCTACAGGGAATCCCTGCTTCTGCCCCTCCCACTAAGTAGCTAGTTTAGGGAAGAAACTAAAGCAGATATGTGTAAATGTCTCTCCTTTCCATCATCGAGATAAAAAGTCAAAGAACCAGAATTTTGGAAAATGGGCTGATTTGCACTTGATGTCAAATGCAACAAAATGCATCAAGTATTTTGATGGCAAAACAGGACCATTAAATCACAAGGCATCAACCATTTAACTTCAAAATCAGCAGCAACCTAGATTTAGATTTGGTATCTTTCTATGTATCAGTATTGCATGGGTGACTGTGTACATTCATTTTGGCTCTGTAAGCTAAATGAAGTGTGGTGAACTTACTTATATGTGAGACATTATCAGAAATACACATTTACCCATTTTTTTCCGTTACCACTTACTCTTTTTTAAAGAATCCTTATTCAAGGACATACTTTGATTTTAGAGAGTGAAACATCAGTGTGCAAGTGACTGTCAATTAGTTGCCTATTGAACTAGTCCTGACCAGGAATCAAACCCACAACCTGAGTACCTGCTCTGACTGGGAATCAAACCCCGTGACCTTTTGGTGTATAGGACATTGCTCTGAGTCATACCAGCCAGGGCACCACTTTTTACAATAGCATTTTGTATCTAAAAGGAGCTGATGAGAAAACTAAGGCTCACAAAAGTTAAATAACTTGCTTATTGTCCTGGCAGTCCTTGACAATACTTTTGTCTTCATCTGTTATTTTATAAGAACATAGGCAATCATATGAATACAGTATCATCATAAGGATCACAGGCTAGGACTTTGAGGGGACAGGTGGCTAACTAGAATTCTCAGGAGCCAAGAAGAGCAGTCCTGAGGGAACTGAGATTAAATGTAAATAGTTAAGAGCCTGTAAAAAATAATTACTATGGCCCTAACCAGTTTGGCTCAGTGGATAGAGCATTGGCCTGCAGACTGAAAGGTCCCAGGTTCGATTCCAGTCAAGGGCATGTACCTTGATTGCAGGCAAATCCCCAGTAGGGGGTGTGCAGGAGGCAGCTGATCAATGTTTCTCGATGTTTCTAACTCTCTATCCCTCTCCTCTCCTCTCTGTAAAAAACCAATAAAATATATTTTTAAAAAATTATATAATCTCACTTGAAAATGACAATGTTTCGAATATGCCACTTTAATCAGTGCAATTGGAAAAGTTTTAATGTAAAGCAGTATTCAAAGATCAAAGATTTATGAGCAAATGGTATTCATCATAGCATAATGTATAAAAATAAATTTTTCAAAAACTTAAATGTTCAACAATATATTAAACTAGAGGCCTGGTGCACAAAATTTATTCATGGGGGGTGGGGGAGGAATCCCTTAGTCCAGCCTGCACCCTCTCCAATCCAGGAGCCCTCGGGGGATGTCTGACTGCCCATTTAGGCCCGATCCCATAAGCCCATAGTGATTGGGCCTAAAATAGCAGTCGGACATCCCTGGAAATCCGGGACCACTGGCTCCTAACTGCTCACCTTCCCACCCGCCTGATCACCCTAACTGCTCTCCCCTGCTGGCCTGATCACCCCTAACTGCCTCTGCCTTGGCCCCGCCACCATGGCTTTGTCTGGAAGATGTCTGGTCTAATTAGCATTATTACCCTTTTATTAGTATAGATTATGGAACATGGAATAAAATGGATCCATGTTCTTAACAGACCTTCACACAGGGAAATGCTAAAAATGTTTTTAATACAGTGTAGAAAATGTGTGATTTAAATTTTCAAATAGTGTATTTATACGGAAGGGACCAGAATATTTACACCAAATTGTTTAATGGTGGTTGGAATCTTGGGTAATTTTAATGTGGTTCTTATCCTATTCCCTATTCTAAATTATAACATTCCCTTTTAACAATAAGTTTTATCTGGTAATCTAAGACCATAAAAGGTTTTTTTTTCAAGAAATTAAATTTATTTGACAGGGATAAGTTGAAACAAATATTCAATTGAGAGATAAATTACAACACATGCATAAAAGGGAATTATTTTGCAGCCCCCTACAATAGTTTGAGAAATTTTAATGACTTAGGAAAGCAGCTCAGTGGGAAAAACAGATATAAAATTCTAGAAAGTTATTGATTATACTAAAAATAGAAAAAAAGTCTAAATGCAAATGGTATCAAAATGTTGACAAGTCTCTGGATAGTGGTTTACTACTGATTTTTAGTTACTTTATACTTTTTTCTATTTTCCAAATTTCCGGTATTTTATTATCAGGAAAAAAAATAGAAATGAACATTTTTAGCACAATATTATAAGTATGACCCAATGTAGTGCTTTGGAAAACATGCCAACTTCCAAATACTGCATTGCTCTTTCCTGTGTCTCCAAAAATGGTGCTCTGAAGCATGAGAGGAAACATGAAGTAAAAAGCAGCTTTTAATGGTAGTTTACTTCTGTTAGCATTTTAAAATTTACCCTTGTTTTGATAGAAGATACAAAACATAGACATGTTTGGAAAAGGAAGGGAGTAGAAGACAAAACAGATTTTTATCTGCCTGTTTTAAATATCTTTTCTTTCAATGTAAGCTCAAGACCTTTTAGAAAATGTTTGTGGTATTCCTGGAATATATTAAGACATCTTGAAAAGCTACTACATAAGCCTACAAATTCACATTTTATAGTTTTTTGATGCCAAAATGTAGTAGTTGGGGAAAAGCCAAGAAAATGGTGGCTTTATCATATGCTCATAATTGCAAAAGCTTAATGATATTCTTTAAACTTATTTGTTGATGAGTGTTTAGAAAATGAGTAATAACTCCAGTGGTAAAACAAGTTTGGTCTTTTCTAGGTGAAAACACAGTCTCTGAAATCAAATCTACAAAGTCATTCTCAGGCTCTCAAGATTAAAGATACTGCTAATTTAACTATGTCTTCTTTTGGTGAAGGTGGCTGGCAGAGCCTGATAACAAATCAAATAAAAGAAAGTGAAAAGTTGCTAAGCTTAGAGAATGACAACCAATCTAAAAAAAGAAAAGCAGAAGAGTTGTTAACAAAAACAGATTAATACTTTCAGTGGTATATTACTGATGTAGTTTCAATTACAGCAAAATGACTTCTATCTAAAGCTTCAGATGTATTCACTTTTCCAATTTCTTCTGATGTAATGAAGTTGTATTACTGCTATGTTTTTGCCCATAAAATGCTTCAGTTAAGATAGCTGAGTTAAGATTGCAAAGTTTGCTATTAGCATCATATCCCCTTAAATTGGCCTTTCCTCCATATACCTTTCATCAAAGCTCCTGCTGCACCTTCAAGACCCTTCCTTAATAGAACACAACTTACATATTATTCAAGATAGACACAGTGAGACCCTTCGTAATTTATTACATTGTACCCTCTGAAGATTGTAATTTCTTTTGGACTTGAGACAATAAATGTTCAGACTGTTGTCAAATTTCAGCTTAAAATGTTTTACTATCATTTAGATGTTTCCCCAAAAGAAAAATATTTATAGCATAAAAATTCAGGTATCAGAAAGACTCAAAAGGCTGTTTTTCACTTTGTTCAAGTTTTGTTTCCAGGCATTAAGTGTGTCATACAGTTGTTGCCATTGTTGTTTTCCAAATGTCCGATGTGTGCTATGACTGAAAAATTAAAAGTCATTAGTCAACCTTTTATCCTCTTGTATTCTTTTATAATATTACATACTTGAATCTAGTCAAAAGCAAGGTTAAATATACATAAAAGACAATTTCAAATTGTAAGAGAATTAGCAGCTTATTTTTTAAAAAATTCTTTATCATATTGATGCTGAACTTCTATTTTCCTGAACTACATAAAACAGACACAAAAGTCATTAGTATTCTAGCCAATGCTGAGCCATTAAATGAAATGTGCTGGAAAATAGGACTTTCATTAAATAAGCTAATCAATTCAGTCTGAACTTTAATAAAATTATGATAAATAGCAACTATTTAACTACAGTCAATTGATAAGAACATCACCTTAGTTCTCTAAACATTTAAGTGAAATAATCAGAACAAACTAAATTGTTCTACAAAATGCTGCAAAGTATTAAGTGTCTTACCTGACAACTACTTTTCGCTGGGTCTGATCAATTTTGCAGTAGACCATTTTTGTTTTCACGGCTGAAAAAAGACATTTTGCATGACATGTTATATGGAAAATGCCTAAGAAAACAGCTTAAAGTATGAAACTATGACCAAGCAAGCCATAATAAAACTTGACAGTTTTCTAATATGATTTTATAAGCTGGCTCTTTGAATCTAATAAACAGCAATATGATGCAACTAAGAGGGAGATTATGCATTTATTTATCCTATGGTTGCTGGGCTAATCCATACGAAAAATCATATAGTGTTCTTTTTAATACATATATATGTTTTATTGATTTTTAGAGAGGGAGGGAGAGAAACATCGATGTGAGAGCACAACACTGATCGGCTGCCTCCGGCATGCCTCCCCTCCCCTAGTATTCATCAAGAATTCTAGATGTTCTCCTCTACAATCACACCTTAGGGCAGGGGTCCTCAAACTACGGCCCGCGGGCCACATGCAAATACAAATATTGTATTTGTTCCCGTTTTGTTTTTTTACTTCAAAATAAGATATGTGCAGTGTGCATAGGAATTTGTTCATAGTTTTTTTTTTTAAACTATAGTCCGGCCCTCCAACGGTCTGAGGGACAGTGAACTGGCCCCCTGTTTAAAAAGTTTGAGGACCCTTCCCTTAGGGGGGTGAAGGGGAAGATTTCCTAATTAGGTATTTCTTTATAAGTATGTTTAAGAATTAGAGCATTAGAAACTATGTGAATAGTTCTTTATTTTATTAATTGTATAATCCCCCAAACTTTCAAATTTAAAAGGCTCAGGAAAAAAAAAAATTCTGTTACTTTATAATACCAATGTTGGGGAAGAAAGTCCTGTTTCTAGGTCAATCATAAAAAACTGATAATGGTTAACATCTGCAGGACATTTAATACATGCCAGGCACTGGGCTAAGTGCTTTACCTGCATTAATCCATTTAATCCTCAGAACTACAAATTACTCCTATATTCCTATTTCATAGAGGAAGACAGACCTGGTCTCAAACCCAGGTCTGATATAAAAATCTAGGCTCTTAACCACCCTATGGTATACCACCTAAAGGTTTTTGTTCTATATGAGTTTAAGTAATAGAACAAACACCAAAAACCACATAGCAATTTTTATTTCCATTGAATTTTCACTCTACAACAATTACAATCTGCTAATCTACTAAAATACACATTTGTTACAAAAGAATCTAGCTTTGTTAGCATATGGCTCGGCTTCAAGATAAAAAATCTTATACTGCATGGATAAAAGATAAATAGAAAAAAAAACGTTCTAATTGCCTTACCATCAATAACAAATGCTTCAACATCATCAGCTCCAATCTGAAGTTCCTGTTGCATTGTATCAAAAGAAATTTCTTTATTTTCCACTGCCATTCCCATAAAAGTAAGTAGTCTCATTTTTGCCATATTCTGTTCATGTAATAGTCCTGAATAATAACAAAATAGTTAAGTTGAAGAGGTATTAATGCTAATAGAAGACCAATTACAACTCTTGTGTCAAACTGTAGAGTCACTGTGTTTGAGCACTTTACATATAGAGTAATTCTGACAAAGCTTCTATTTTCAAATCATAAACTGACCCCATAATTAAATTATGGAGTATTTAAAATTATTTTTCTAGAACTACATTTATTTATTACTATAGGTAATAGACAAAGTTAATAAGACTGGGCTATAAAATGGTTTTAGGCCCTAAAGTTTTTTTATATCCTAACTTATACACTTAAGGAGATAAAATGTACAAAATTCATTTCATAAGGAAAAATTTTATATAAATGAATTACTTATGCTTATTTTTACTAACAGGTCCCTTGTTTAAACGGAGGACTCCTTATCTACTTATACCTTGTTCTGTTTTATTAGGAAACGAAGTTTTAAAACATTTCCATACACATTCAGTCATAAAAACATTCCATTTTCTGTCTGGTCATTTTGGATTTAATATTTAAAAGTTAAAACTGTATATGCCCATCCACTGTGGCTCAGAGGTTGAGCACTGACCCATATAAACCAGGAGGTTACAGATTCCTGGTCAGGGCACATGCCCGGGTTGCAGTCTTGATGCCCAGTAGGTGGTGTGCAGGGGATAGATGATTCCCTCTCCTCATTGATGTTTCTTTCTCTCTTCTTCTCGTAAATTAATAGAAATATATATTTTTTAAATGTAAAAGTGTTTTTATCACTTTACATTTACAGACTAAGATGATTAATACTAGAAAAAACTAATCAGTACCATTAACATACTTGTTCTTTACAAGGCCTAAATAGAAAACTGTATAGAAAATTCAAATTTTTGCCTTGCAATTTCTAAATGCAACATACTGTTATAATTACTCATATCAAAAACAAACTGTTAGACTCTTTTAAAAGGAAACTTAACAAATTATCTGGCCCTGCTCCTTTCACTTTAAAAAAACAATAAAATTGAGGAGTAAAGAAGTGAAACGCTTTATTTACAGTCACAAAATGGCCTCGAAAATAGGTTCATTTATAAAATAAATAACTAGAAATATAAATATTTACAAATCCTGAATATCCAAGTGTTAACCCGTCTCTACATGGAAACTGAATTATAACATATACACTTGATTTGATGCTAACTTCTCAATTATAAAAACAAGTTTCTAAAATTAATACAGAATTACACGCCCCTTTTCTCTGAGCTTTCAAATTTGGTAATCTCACGAAGATCATTACCCTTTTGTATTTAAGAGCCTCAAGTTTGTATTGTTTAAAAAGTTCCCTCTAAGCACTCCACAAATAAATTTGAAATATATAACATTTATTATTAGCAGGTGACTAGGAAAGCCCATTAATACAGCTCATGTCTGTTAATTAACTATAATTATGATGCAGGCTTTCTATTTGGCACAGATTCAACAAAAACACGATCATCATAACTCAGATGAATGAGATACCCAAGTAAGTATTGCTAACCAGTTTAATGGAAATCTATAAGCATCAAAAAAATCAATTAGTGCACATTAATCCTAATTAACAAATGAAAATTAGATGCTGATTAACTTTCTGAAGCAAGAAGGTAGCAACTGGATAACACCAGATTACATGTGAACATGTTAGGGCAATTCAGATGACACAAGATAATTCTACTGTTGGCCCAAACTGCCAGTTAATAAATCCCGCCTGGTCACTTTGGATTTAATATTTAAAAGTCAAAACTGTATGCCCAGCCAGTGTGACTCAGAGGTTGATAAACTGTTGCCATCTGTGGAATCTAGACATTTGTAACCAAACTTTAAGCTGTAATAAACGTCTAATAATATAACTAAAACTATACATTCAAGATGTTTTTCGCAAAGCATCTTTTACAAACAAATTTCTAATAAAAGACTGCTAATTTGCATGGATGTTAAAGAAACAAAAGGCAAAACAAAATTTGATTTACAGGAATACTATGTTTCTCCTGTTACAGAGAACAAACACTAAAGATCTTTCTCAAGAAAATTTCTTAGCATTCCCAGTTCTGTGGGCATACATAATCCCTTTTAATGTTAAAATAATAAAAACTCAAATTTCTAAGGTATAATTTAAAATACTCTTAAAATAAAAATCTGCTATAGTTTTAAGCTTACCATAAATCGAAAAACATATCAAAGGAATGAAAATTATTTCTAAAATAAATTATGTAAAACCATTTTATGTCATACAATGGGGAATCTATGTTTAAAAACATTTCAAATTGATGTTTAAAGTCACTACATCAAAAGAAATCACCAAACCTAAAGCCTTTAGGACTTTTGCTCTCAAAAGCAAGCTATTAAGCCAGTGAAGTATGAGTTGAAGACTTGTTAGGAAGCTGTGCTTTATTTCATGAAAAGTAGAACATCACCTTCAAAGAAGTCATAGTATTCTATGTCATTTCTATTTTAAAGTTATAAAAAAAATCTAATTTTATGGAAACATTTATTCATTACTAATATGTCAAAACCTTAATGCAGTAATAAAAAAATGTGCATCACTGAGCAATTTCTGCATTGTCACTGACCCCTGCCTTAAAATGCTGCAATATAAAAAACGTAATTTTAATGCATTGCAATAGCTTATGAACCAGTGCTCCTTTGAAACAGTCAATTACACATCAATGGGGGAGTGTCAAAGTGTTAATTACTACTCCTTTTTCCTTGGTGAGTAAATAAAGAGGTTGCTGACATTAACATTCCATCACATAGCTTCATGCCACAAAACAAATTAACTGGGACAGAATGTGGTTTTCTGGGTCTAGTGCACCTGGCAAAGCATTCTACACAAACACACTCGCATCTACTTTATCTTGGTGTATTTCAAATGCCTTGTTATGTTCAGAATAATTCAGTCTTGCCCAATGCCGAAGTTTACAGGTGACAGGAATGAATGATTACTATATTGAGGACTAGCAGTATAATCAAGCTAGATTATAAATGCATTCTTTACCTATGTCTCAAACAACCAGGAAGACTAACAAATTTTAGTATGAAAAATACATAATGTATTTTGATTATTACCTAGTAGGAAAACAAAGCACCTTAGTTTCATAGTTGACTTCATTCTCTTAGAACAACTTAAACTTGTTAAACTATAGATTTTCTAATTTTTCATTTTGTAATTTTAGTATGTTAAAGACGTGCTCTAGAAGGAAAATACTGCATCTATATGGAGCTTGCTCAATGAGGACAGTGAGAGTCAATCCAAGTTGGTGAACATTTACTGAGCTCTGATGCTCTAGAACAGCGGTTCTCAACCTGTGGGTCGCGACCCCTTTGGGGGTCGAACAACCCCTTCACAGTGGTCGCCTAAGACCATCCGAAAACA